TCGTCTAGACCATCGGATACTACTATCCAAGCTGCAGCATTACGGGATCGGAGACCCTATTTTAAGCTGGATTACCAACTTTCTACTTAACGGCAATTAGTGGTCAGAGTTTAGAGCTCATTATCGAACCGCATACAAGTTGAGTGTGGTGTGCGGCAAGGCCCAGTTCTAGGTCCACATTTGTTTTTGGTGTTTATTAATGACCTTGCACAGGGAATCGCTTCAAACTTCGTAATATTTGCCGACGATATCAAGATCTGGCGCAGGATACAGGCAAACGCAGACCAACGTATGTTCCAGTGTGACCTAGATATGATGTATCCATGGTCAACCCAAAACTTATTGCATTTCAACGTCAGTAAATGCAAGGTGCTTTCCATCCGACATTAGACCAGCTACTTATACCGACTCGGAACGAATATACTGCGACAATCAACTTTCGAACGTGACTTTAGTGTCCTGGTCCAAGATGACTTGGATTGCTCCAAGAAATCCGAAAAGGTCTGGAAGACCGGGAACCAATACGTCGGACTGTTGCGACGAGCGTTTGGACAAATAAACAGCTCCATATTTCGACAAATGCTCAGTGCGTATGTTCGCTCCCATGTCGAATACGCAATTCAAGCCTGGCATCCATGGCTGAAACATGACCTTAATGCACTGGAGCAGCCACAACGCCGGGCATCTAAGAACGTAATTGGAATGCGCAATCTTTCCTACCAGGAGAGGCAGCAACGATTGTGGGTGTTCAGTGGAAGCTATCGCAGAATACGAGGCGACCTGATTATAGCACATTTGATTCTACTGGACCCACATAATGTGTGCCGTCCTTTACAGCGACTCAGCATCAATGCAACCCTGAAGAGCCATTCAGTGAAACTTGCAGTACAGTATAGTCCTTTGGAGTGTCGCAGAACTTTCTTTTTTCCTTCGTGTCTGTCACACGTGGAATACTCTCCCAGAATCGGTCGTCTCTGCACCGACACTAACAGTATTTAAAAGACGGTTGGACGATGCACTCATCCACTTACACTTTGTTACTTAGCACTACGACTCCATCCTACACCTGGAGTATACCATGGAATTATTTGTTGTTATCTGTGGGTGCTGTGAAGCTAAGAGGATCTCAGGACTACAGGGGAGCAAATGATAAGTCCTCATTTTCATATTTAAATTATTAACTATTTTACCATCCTTATCATCATTCTTGTTACTTTGATATCCCCACCAAGTATCCAACGGGACTTGTAAAGCAAAACTTCTTAAGCCGTATAAATTCGTTGTTCATTGTTCATTGACTGTTCCTCCTCGTGAGGCCTATGCTTGGGATTTGTTCTCCATTGTTGTGAAGGACAGAAGGCAGTCGCTACTATTCATAATCCATGTCAAATCGTACGTCCTTACACCTGTACAACTGATTCATTTAACTTAGTACCGTAAAATCAAACTGCATATGTTCTGTGCTGTCAACTAGCAAAAGAAAATGCATCGGAACAGAATCAACAGTCACTACGTAGTAGTGATTCACCAAATAGGTATCACTGCGGTTGGTCTATAGCAGCCAATTTTGGTCATCCGATATCTGGTGGTTAGTCCGTTGGGATGACGAGATTTAAACTTCCGTCACTTTTGGAACACTATTTGTCGTGTGTATAGCTATTGGCTCCACTGTATCATAATCTAATATTGAAGCTGCATCTCAATGAGTGTAATCATCGCCAATACTTTATGGGGCTTACTGAGCAGCTTAAAACAAAAGCAGCAGCTCCACAAAGAGATGAAGAATTCAAACATTGGATTAAGCAGATACGATCCAAAATGGATTTTCTGGATAGAACTTTGCCGTATCTGGACTGTAGCTAATTTAGGGTTATTGTTATATGCATTGACGATGCGAGACGAAATGTAATCAGCCACCGAAATTAGTGTTCTCGTTGTGATTTTCATATCGCTATGGAGAACTTATCGTTTTAATTTATTGTAAACACTACTTCGAGTGAGGCATAACGACATTAGCGTTTTGACTCCTCCAGGACTCGGGGCATACCAGCTAAAGGCCGAATACACTAAGGACCGTTTATATATACTGACTGAAATCTATTTGCAGTACTCGACAGCTTTCCGCTGCAATGGGCTCCGGGCTTTTGGAACAAACCTAGGAAGGAGGCAAAAGCACCCAGACCGTTGACACGACATAGGTTGTTCTCAAGAAGACCAAGTGGTGTTAAACGTTGTCAACAAATTCATGGCAACAGCAGGAGAACAGAAGTTGTCACCGGTTTAGCCTAAAACTACGCATTTGTGGGGCGATGCATATTTTATAAGTCAACATTATGGCTAGTACTCTTAATGTGTTCATTCCAGCAGCTAACAAGCTACATAACTCAGCCATAATCCGGAAATTGTAGCCTCTCCTTGTTTCAAATGTGATCGGCGTAGCTTCTAGTTAGAGGAAGGCATGGCCTGCAGACTAGCCACTGTCGTCTGCAAGGGTAGTAACCTGCGCGGCTGTGGAAGATAGGTCGTAGCATATGCCGGTTAGCTTGAAAATTATGTAGTCCATCTGCTGTCTCTCATGGCCCAGTGGCTTAAGCTGCTGGCTGGTTGGCATCAATCTCTAACGATCATGGGTTCGATCCCCGATAGTGAACCGAGGATTGTGCGACAATGAGGAGCCCCAGTTGTGGGGGGAAGGCGTCTTGTGCTTTCCCGGATTACGCCTAAGCTATGACGCTTGTTAGCTGGGGGATGAACACACCAACAGTACAACTAAATTACTCTTGCTCACAACTACTATGGCTTGTAGCAGCCCCCAACTGGGTGTGTTATTCGTCATGGATTCAAGGTAAGAAATTAAACAGGAATCCATAAACGGAACTCAACCATTTTTCTTTCATTTTACCGGTTATATCATCATGCACTCCAGCAAGGTACAAATTTGTATAACGGTGTCATCTTAGTGAGCTGCGAAAGCGTACCACTTTTATACTTGAGCGCTGCAACTGATTCACTAAGCAAAATAACAAAAATTAAAATGCTTTGCTTAAATATAGAAACATAACCATCACCACCCCGGTTAAAAGAAAACTAATTTTATGTTGAAGCAATCGTTAAATGATAGTTTAGCTTTTATGTAGCTTACTTATTTGTATAAACATAGGCCAATAGTCAGAGCGTTTAACGTTTAATACGCACTGCATTTTAGAAATGACGATATGCTAGGTTTCTGTAAATTCCGTCTCCCAACTGCTGTAGAAGGCTGTTGGTTAAACTTATTAAGCGGCAAACTTAAGGCTAACCTTCAGTTCAGCCCCAAATTTGAATCAGCAAATTAGGGACGGGATCCCAAGGTCAAGTAGTTCTATCTGTCTATACTTATTCTCTTGTTCGTGTCGATCAATATGTGTATCGAGAGATCTACCAGAAGACTACCCGAGAGAGATTGGGAGCATTGTTAAACTTGCCTGAATAGCGGAGTGACTAGAACAACGACAAGCGCCGTGTCTTTTCATTTGGTTGATTCAAGTCACCAGATCATTACGCACGAAGCATTCAATCCTATTATCCACGTGCCCCAATGTCACCCACGATCGGTTTGATGCCACCTACTGGGATCGACGGAAAGGCTCACCATTCGGCTTCATGACACTGACCTATGGGCGCCTACTAAATTTGTCGGGGCTTTTACTGTGACCCTACGCATGGTGTGGATAACACTATACACACACACACATACACCTTTGATCACTGTGGGACAAATCATCCAGCTTGCTCACTCAGAGCATCTTAGCTTATTTGAACTTTTGCCTTTAACTGTTGTTTTCTTTTAGGTCCCTTCCGTCTGATGTCTGTTTGGGATATATTATCAGTTAAAATACGATTGACCAGAAGGGGGAAATTGATAGACACAATGTACCCCGATTAGCAGTCAGAGTGAGCTGGTGATAAATAAATGCACTGTCACGTAGTGACTTTTATGATTAACATCAGTAACTACGTAGATCAGTTACCACTCCGGCACAATATAAAGTCACTTGGAGCTTAAGACTTTTATGGCTCTAACTTAGTGTTGCCTGATTAATAGACTAAAACACAAAGGGAATTCAGATAGATTAGCATGGTCCGCACTTCAAAAGCCTAATAGTTTGGTGTACAGTTAGCGATTAATGGTCGCTGATGTTTCAAACCAACATGATCGGCGGGCGTCCAGCGGAACAATAGATCAATAAGGTATTAAAGGCATATACGTGTCTGCTTAAACTGCCTCACCGGTTGGCCGAGTAAACTTGGTTATGTAATCAAATCGGTACGCTCGAATGACTGGTTACCCGTCTACGTCACCAAATGATCACGCGTGGACGAGTCCTTAAGAATAGGTGGTCTCATTGACCACCTAATATGCCGTGATACACTCTTATACTCTCAAATACGAATCCGAGTCTGGTTGAAGTAATTAGTTAGGCTGCCAAAAGTGATGCGGAGATATTGTTGAATACTAGACATATGAGGTTAAAAAGGCGCACTGAACATAAAGGTGACTATGTTATTTTGCTACTCACGGATTTATTCTAATCTCTAGTTTCGACAAACAATGGCAGCCTTGACTTGGATGAAGGTTGTGTGGTGCGATAGTGTTAACAACGGTTCACCACATCGAGAACCATTAATGCCGTATGAACTAACAGTTCTCGTTCGACAGTGACCGACCGGTAAACCATATTGTCGCGGCATATTAATGTAATACACGAACTTGCATCTATAGAAGCTTTCTGAATATATACTAGCCGTCAAGGAAGATGTGAGACCGAAGGTATTCAAACACGCTTCCTATTACCAGTATCAATAGACGAAGTGCAATCAAGGGTGACCGAGTGAAGATTGTGAGCAACATATGAGATTGCTTATCATAGGGTGTACTTTGTGGTTACTGAACAGAAAACAAGCTTAGTTACTTGTATTATATCATCTTGTCACTATACTGTCGTATTCTTTCTCTACAGGAAACTCGTCGGCGCCTGATGTCCGGGCAAAGTCATTTGAGGGTAGCTCAAAGCTATGGAGAATACAAGCAGTCATTGAAATACGACGATGTCGCACTCGCATGGCATGACGATAAGATCAACACCATGGCCGTGGTACGTGACAAGGCGCGAATCATCCTGATGTCTGGAGCTACGAGTATGGAGCTACTGGCTTCAGCACCCGAGTACGCTACGTTGCGGAGCAATTTTCGCGCTTGGCTCAGTCCGGAATATCCAAACGCTTCGTTTGTAAAGGTGACAGATCGAGCTAGAGATGGTAACATTCTGCTGATTACCAGAACATCAGGATTTAATGAACACAAGGTGTACGATCGTCTTATGTCAGGCAAAAATGCTGCAGTGATAGGATACATTGGCTCGTTAAAAGTTGCAAACAGTCCCGCAGCACGCCTCATGGCGAAACTACATATCGGATATGCTAGCCACAGAAAGGAATATGCGCCGCGCAATATTTCAATTTCAGGTTTAATTAAGCAGCCAAAGTTTATCCCATTTGGCTACCGTCTGAAGTTGGCGACAGAGAGCTGGAAAGTATTCCGAACCGAGAACCTCTACTCTAACGTAAAAGCGGAAGAAGTAAGAACACCGGAAGCACAAGAGGCTTTACGAAAACTTATAGATAAATACCGTACATACTTCAAAGAACATCCGATTTGCAGAACTCATCCATATCAGCGAGATGAGAAATTGGACCTAGCCTTCGAAAACTACAACAGATTACTAACGTTTCAGCTTGGCTCTCGAATTGAACCAATTCCCGGCTCATCGCGTACGCCCGGTGATTTGCGCCCGAGCGAGAACAGCACATGCTACACGGTCACATTCAATGTGAGTGTACGTGGTGGTTACTATCCCATGGGAGGATACGCGAAACCCGGACACGCATTTCGGTACAAAGTTCTCAATGTAACCACTCGGAGTCTCAAGGGTTTTCGTGTCCGCGTTAATCCCCAAACAGACACAGTGAGACGTCCGGAACTCAGACGATGGTTCACCGTCACATCCGTCAGAGAGATGGAAGCGCAGGGCGAGTTCGCTTCACCATTCGGAGGTCCGATAGTGATTGAAATTCCTGTACCTGCAACCATTATTATCCACTTCGAGAACGTTTACCGCTATCCGTGGTTCGATATTCGGAATCCTGAGTCAAGGAACAATTGGGAGGTTGAGCGTCTCAAACATCGTGGCGTTCCCTATTTGATGCTAGTCGGCAACAACATGATCAGCATGATTGCCACTTCCATCGCAACAGCAATTAATGGCGAAGACTTTTTGTTTTGTGTCAACTACCATGACAATGTTATCAAAATGATACATAATTATCGCGGAACAGACTATACAAAAGATCCTTTGCAGGTATTTGTGACCGATGAGCAAATCTCGGCCGGTGATGGTCATTCAGGTTACCCGTGGATGGGTCACAGGTATTGGGGTAAAGCATTCCTGGATAGATCAAGAATCGAGAGTGGAAAGTCTGTTAATGTGTTACATGAGATAGGTCACAATCTACAAGTGAAAAAGATCACATTTGCACGGGGTGGGGAGGTGACTAACAGTTTATACATCCCAGTGTTGCACCATTACTTGCTAGGGCTTAGTTCCTACGGTAAAGGATTCTCTCCTGGCTGGAGCCCAAACGATGAACTACAACTGTTGGCTACTTGGCGCGGTAGTGAATATATAGGTGTCCAGGTCAGTTATTATAACTACCTACACAGATACTTCACTGCGGCACTTGTGAGCAATGTGATTGGTTACGCGGTCCATTCAAAAGAATCATTCGACACTGAGGAGCGGAAGGTAAACTTCTGGATGAAGCACTTATGCATCGAGAGTGGGTATGACTTGGTACCTTTTAATCGTTTATGGCATCTCCCAATCAATGACAAGACAGCTGCGCTTTGCAACAGGTTTCCGTGCTTCTTCCCTGACGACGAACTGACACAGCAGGTGCCAGACGTGACGGAAAATATCTTGATGGAGTATAACAAATCGTGTTCCCGCGAACAGCCAGAAGGTGTACAGTTCAAGCGGGATATCATGCGTGGCGTCAACGTGTTGGATCCACAAATAATTTTCATACATAGTGCGGACACCTGTATGACCCCGCCTTCTGAACTAACCTGATCACCCAACGCTGAAGCCGGTTATTTTATCTTAACTTTCCATGACTGTAAATCTCCACTTCCGTAGGGTATTTCTTCATGTCTGGAATTGATGTAACACATGGTATTGCTCATAAGCTACTTACCTAACAACTAGTTGAAAGTTCAACGGGATAATCTTCTTCATGTCTTGAGTAGGTTGCTTGCTCTAATTGTGCGTCAGAATTTATCATGAAAAGTATGTGTAACTCACAGATACTTTGAGCGAATTGTCGTCAAAAAGAAAGCAACTTGTATCATAAGTGCGCACTTTGGTAAAGTTGCTGTATTTACTGATTATTTTTCAGTGTTTTCTATACAAAGTCAGATGGTAGATCAGGTCATATGCATTAGAAGTTGCATACCCATTAGTGAGGCGTTCCATGTGTGGTCGTGGACTGGTCGATCCACAGCGACTCGTATCCTGCAAGCGTACCTTCCATGGCACCGACGGCGTATCAGTAATCTGGAATGTCATTTCATGTGACACTCAGGCTTTCGCGAACTTAACCGCGAAGACACCAGTAAGTGCTAGATGATGTCGCTCTCAGTGCCTCACAACAATGGCCGGTTCTGTGCCATTTTGACACTGAGAGCAGGGCTTGTGCTGGAACCTGTCAAGTTTGGATCGCAGCAGTGAAAGCCGTAACTCACGCCGTGGAATCACAGTGATCCACACCTGTCACAATGGTGAATGACTAATGGTATGGTGTCATTCTGAATGAATTGCAACAAACAACCTTAATGTGGACCACGTGATTCAACATTTTTCACCTAAATGACAAAAGTATGCGTCCGTTATGGTGTGTTGGAACAAGTTGGTCAACTATGATTACAAGCAATATTGTTGATGCAATGTCAGCACTTGTTTACGCAACACGCTTGCGGTTTTACGATGTTGGAAACTTGATACCATCAGCAATGCATTTGAAGGGCATGGTAGCGCACTTTCAACTGATATTAGGTGAAGCGTATCCTCTGAATCTAATCAGCAATCGGTATGCTTCATACAGTTATGAGTTATGATATGGAGCAGAAAGTCCTTCCGACGAGTATCCGGTCGGTATATCCACTTGAAGTGCGACTAAATCGAACCGAGTAGGTGTCGTCTGACATAATTTCCGATGTTGTGGATTGGAAATCGGCAATGCCTTGCAAACACTATCCCTTTTTCGCGCACAGTTTTACAGCTTCATGTTAATGGCAAACTAGTGAAACGCTTGCTAACCCTGCATACGGATTCCAGGAGCCTTTGAATGAGCTAGCCAACATTGATCATGAATCATCCTCATGAGTACTTAACAGTGGATGCGATTTCGTATATCACAACATAAAGTTTATGATCAAATCAAGTACTCTGAATAGGTTTATTTGTAAAGAAAAATAAAGCATGCTTAGACATTTTTGATGGAAGCATGTTCTACGATACCTAAAAGATTGAAATCCGCAAGGGAAAGAGGTCGGAGCTAGACAAAAGAGGAAAATTATCCTACATAGTGTGCTAATGCCGATAGGATACAACAGGCCGCTGGGCTGCTGACGTATACTTTGCATATCTCTCAAGCTTTACTATGAATGAGCATAAATTTGTGCATTTATCGTATCCGAGATGTCGCTTAAAAACACATCATCTTAGGGAATAGTTAGAGTACTGTGAGTGTGTTGGCCACATCAACCAGACTAAAAATCTCGAGTTATCTGAATATACAACAGTTATCCAACAGCACCTCTATTTGAGTAGATAAAGTAGGTTATGCAGTGTATGGAACCGAAGGCTCCGCATCCAGTATTCCGATCGATGTACCCATCCACCGTCTAAACTATCTGTGAAGTGGATTCATAAGGCAAAGCACATCCGGAAGAGCGTTCCAAGGCTGACAAAGTTGGAGGGAGATGATTCCTGTGACAATTTAACCGGCTGCGTTACGCAGCCAACAAATTGCTGGTGATCACTTAGTTTACTGTTATGTCTGTGTTTCAAGTGGTGACGAATTTTGATTTATCAGAATGAGGTCATTCAGAAGAGAACGAAATGACACACCATAAGCTTCACGGGGCTTCCACTTAACGTTACAATGGGCGATGCACAAATGCTTGCCTTTCAAGTTGCCGTCTGCTATGAAATCTCGAGTGCAATCAATTTATTTTCTCGCAAGCCTGTCGGTCCTCATGTGTGCTACGCATTTGCTGGATAGATGAACCAAACCAAACGAAAATCTTCCTTAAGACACCAACGAGCTGATTCCCAGTTTCATTCAACGCTACCACGGATCGCTTCGAACAGTTGAGATTATACTGAATGACCATCTCGATGACATGCTCATGTGGAAAATTCTTCAAGAGTGGCGGTATCCTAGCTTTGTCCTATTCATTTCGCTAAAGTGCCTGGCATTGGTGGACGGATCCTGTTATACCACGTCCAGTTGCCTGATGCATCCCCTATAATCCACTGGTTAGGCCAACTACGTATCACAGGGGTGGCTAAGAGTTCCTTCTCCGATAAGACGAACCAGTCATACCGAATTTTCTCGTAGCTGCGGGGACGGTTGAGTGCAATTTTCCTGGACGTCCGTGAACAATAAGCCAAACTAAAGTGCTCCATCCAGCTGAAAATATTGTGGCTGTCAGTAGGATGTTCACATTTTCAGCATGGCGATTATCACCTCTATACTGGACTTCTGTTTAAATTGCCTCCAAATGCTTCGTGAGAACATTCTACCCGTCAGATTGGTGCCTCCTTATTTCCTAACCATGTCTAACTGCAGTCGTAGGCTGCTTTCGCAAACGCATGTCCACTAGCGTTTATTAATAATGATAATAGTTACGTTTTGATATACTAAGGAGTAGGCGAATTTGGCGTACAACAAGACAGACAGCGTTTGTTGCCCTTGGACCAGTGACATGAGCGACTGGCTGTTAGTGCAATCTGCAAGTGGTCATAGGGTTGAATCCTGAGAACCCCATGGATGCGTACTGATGATGCACAACCATTTGATAATGCAGTTTGGTACAGTTCGGAGCGTGTGGTGGACTGTTAGATTTGGAAACTGCAGCAACGGGATGTCAATGTTTATGATCGGGTTTACACGAGACGCACCTGAATAGACGTGAGCAGTTAGTTGCACGCATCAAAAACAATTATCCTCTGATTAGCAATTGTATGTGATGACGTAACAAGATTGCAGTACTTTCTGTGATATGCAAGCACCGTTCAGACGAGAAGACAAAGTATTACAATAAAGGGTTTCTGTTATATATCCCTGCTTAGTGCAATCGTCACGAGCGATCAAATTGCGCTATCCTACTGGTAGTGCACTGGACACGATATATATTCGAACTTGACTTTAGCGATTTATCGGGATGTTCTGTAGCAAACATGCAATATAAAAGGAAACACTACTTACCAAAAATTCTCTATAAGTGCTGTAGTTCAATTATGTTGCCATAATATTATGTCTTATACACATTCCAATGTGTCACTTTAGTCTAGTTTTTCTTGATTATCCGGAGGGACCTACTGGGGGGAATAGCATAGATCGGCTTTAAAGACCGCAAGCGTCTTCCTTAAACAGCCTATCGGAAATGGATGATATAGACAGAGCTGGATTAATGTGCCTTTATCTGCCTCTATATGTTCGTTAGCGGCTTTAAGTAAGCGAGACTGAGTGATGTATATGTTAGAGGATGGGTAGTGTCGGGGATGATCAGCCCACCAATGTTCTTCAACTTCTTGGTGGACATGTGTACCCTGAGTTTGGTGTTGTTGTTTATGACAAGCAAAGCGATGAATACGAGGAAACTAGGAAAGCAGGGAGCGCCTAACACTCCCGTTGGTGGTTTGTGACAGGCAGGGCACCCCAGGGATTAGATCTAGGGTAAATCGTCACGTCGGTGGAATACCTAATTATCGGGATTAAAGCTTCATCTGGTATCAGATTACATTGGACATATGCTTACTCATAAGTAGTTAAAAGTTACCACCATATAAGTGCATAACACTTCGATCTCGATTTGGACAGCTATTTCAGGATTTCCAGCCATATGCTAGTTGTTTGTGCTCAGCCTTCACTTCATTATCTGGTTAGCTCAGGGGAACCGGAGTAAGAAATCGTCGATTCTTGTTGTGCAGTGTCGTTCCAGTGACAAGTGTGAACTATGGGACGTCTCTGCAGTGCCATAGGGGTCAATAAATCGCCCACTTCGCCAGACTCAGCAAGTGTACAGCCTGGTCAGTTCGTAGCAGGAGGAAGTTACATGACGCGCATCAGTTATTGTTATATTCCCAAGGAGCCAGAGGGTGCTACTTTGACTAGCACACATCAATTGAGCACAATGAACCCTGAAGTTAACTGGAGCTCCGCTAGGGGCAGGCCACAAAGAAGCAGTGCCTCTTTACTGGTTAGAAGATTAACAAGACCCGGCAAATGGTCAGGAAGTGGACATATCGTAGAAAAATTCGTCAGCATCCTTAGACTCATCTTTGCATTCTCATCACATGAGGTCGTCTGTTGTTTCAGCCCCAGACACGGTAGCCTCCATCAAACATACGTCTAACCCCATTTTATCTGCCTAGAAAACAGAATTTTCCTTGGGGACTGTACTTTCTCGCAAACAGAAGGTAGTGTACTATGCTTGTGTTGTCATGTCTTAGCAGCTGACTCTTAATGCTACAGCTATCCACGTCTGTTGCATAGTTCATGCGTTTCTTCTTTCAATTTCGGAAAGAGCATAAAAAGCGGCAGGCGAAAAGCAAACAATTGTTGTCAATGACTTCGCCTACCGCTATTGATTTTCTTTCCGGGATCAAGTATACATGAACATTAGTTTACTTTCATGTAACAAGTCACCTTCCTATGCACAACTTACATGAGAATGGATGCCTATATTGGAACAATGGAACAAGGGGTTTATCACGAATGATGCAGCAAGCCCTTAAAAGTTTTCCGTGGGTCATGATTGAGATCGAAAATGGATATATCAAAG